TCTTCGTTTCTCTAATCAGAACGAGGATTTTATTCTTGAACTTCAAATTGGTATACTAGGTAGAAACTGCACGCCATAAAACAAAAACAAACAAACGAAACAAAATTTTGCCCCAGTATGCACTAGGAAAATTTTGTGAGTTATTGATGAAAGCTATAAAAGTTTATACTAGGCATAATAATAATATACTTTTATAAAATAAATAAAGGGAGATTTGTGCCCAATATAACCAGAGGTTATTACGCCCTGTGAAGTCATAAAAATAAGATAGGGGTTATTGTGCCATACACGCAACCAGGGATTATTGAGCCCTGTGAAGACATGAAAAAATAAAATAGGGTTTGTGCCCTATATGCAACCAGGGTTATTGTGCCCTGTGAAGACATGAAAAATAAAAAGGGTTATTGTGCCCTATATGCAACCAGGGGTTATTGTGCCCTGTGAAGACATGAAAAAAATAAAATAGGGGTTATTGTGCCCTATATGCAACCAGGGTTATTGTGCCCTGTGAAGACATGAAAAATAAAATAGGGGTTATTGTGCCCTATATGCAACCAGGGGTTATTGTGCCCTGTGAAGACATGAAAAAATAAAATAGGGTTATTGTGCCCTATATGCAACCAGGGGTTATTGTGCCCTGTGAAGACATGAAAAATAAAATAGGGGTTATTGTGCCCTATATGCAACCAGGGGTTATTGTGCCCTGTGAAGACATGAAAAATAAAATAGGGGTTATTGTGCCCTATATGCAACCAGGGGTTATTGTGCCCTGTGAAGACATGAAAAATAAAATAGGGGTTATTGTGCCCTATATGCAACCAGGGGTTATTGTGCCCTGTGAAGACATGAAAAAATAAAATAGGGGTTATTGTGCCCTATATGCAACCAGGGATTATTGTGCCCTGTGAAGACATGAAAAATAAAATAGGGATTATTGTGCCCTATATGCAACCAGGGATTATTGTGCCCTGTGAAGACATGAAAAAATAAAATAGGGGTTATTGTGCCCTATATGCAACCAGGGGTTATTGTGCCCTGTGAAGACATGAAAAATAAAATAGGGTTATTGTGCCCTATATGCAACCAGGGATTATTGTCCCTGTGAAGACATGAAAAATAAAATAGGGGTTATTGTGCCCTTATGCAACCAGGGATTATTGCCCTGTAAGACATGAAAAATAAAATAGGGTTATATATATATATTATATATATTTTTTTTTTTTTACTTGATCATTTATTTTATTTTATTTTTATTTTTGTACATTTTCCAAACATAAAAGAAACAAAAAAAAATAAAAATAAAATAAAATGCCCCAGATTTTATTAAGAAAAATAATCTTTTTTTTTTATTGTATCATTATTATTGTGGTGCATATTGTAGGAGAGACAGGGATTCAAGAACTTACCTGGTGGCGTTTGACTCTCGCGAATTACTTGCACGATTTTTCTTTGTACCTATTTTAAAACAAAGAATATTTTGTTAGTTTTTCTAAATGGTGGTTGGTTTGTGACTTCGAATATCTTGTGGAGTTTGACTTTGAATCTGTGTTGGTTGAAAGAATCATCATATTGACGATCGGCGAATAGCTTGAAGATGCTTTAGACGGTCCTTATCTTCCCTTGAAACACTTCTTATGAACATTTTGACCCATTTCCATTTTGTGCACGTTGTGGGGTTCATCCTTTCCAAAGCAACTTTCTTGCTTTACCGATTTTCACACGGTATCGAATTTTTTGATATATATTTTTTTTTCGATTGGTTCACAGCCCTAGTCAATGTTGTGCATGCCCCCAACATTCAACTGGAAATACCGTAGTCAATTTCGCTACTTTAATTTGATTTTCTCACTTGACGCGAGTTTATGCTGAATGAGACTCAAAGAATACCGAACACAAGTACAAATGACACAAATGAAAGGGTTATGAAAGAAAAGTTATGTCTTTAGAAGAAGGAAATAAGTAAATGTTTAAAAGGAATGAAAAGAATCTTATCTGAAAGTACGTGACCACTTAATGAATCATGACATGCATTTGGACTGAACGTTTGATCCTTCTAAGTTGTCCGAATCTCATGAAACAATGTTGTACCTTTAAGTCTATAGCCTGACTTCTATCTTGATTGTGTGCTCATGCCAAGACGGAATGTCATCATTTGATCAATGGTGCCCTTCATGGTTTTCCACCAATAAGACATTCTTATCTCTTTCTCAACTTACTATCGTCTTATGGTGCCCGTGAGGTTTTCACTCATAAGACTCTCTCATTTTTTTATTTTTTATTTTTTTTATTTGTAACACACCGTAGGTCACAATGTCATGTCTCAGCCCTTGGAGAATTGAAGAACATGATTATTGTTTTATTCAGTGATTAGACCGAACCCCAATGAAGGGCTGCCTACGTATCCTCTTAGGAATCAGGTCGAACGTAGTTCAATAAAACTTTTTTTTTTTTTTTTTTTTTTTTTTTGGTACCAGACAAGTGGTGTTTGAAATAAAGGAGGATACATTTTTATCCTCTCATCTTGAGAATGTTAATCATGAGAGTGTCATAACAAAGAGTGTTAGGCGTAGTATCTTTTGATCGAATCTGCGTTAACAATTGTGTCGATCCTTTTCCTCCATATTTGCCAGTTGCAAAGCTCCTTTTGATAGCACTTGTTTAATAACATAAGGGCCTTGCCAATTTGGGGCAAACTTCCCTTTGGCCTCGTCTTGATGGGGAAGGATGCGTTTCACAACAAGTTGACCGACTTCAAAATTTCTTGGGCGTACCTTCTTGTTATAAGCTCGAGCCATCCTCTGCTGATATAATTGACCAAAGCAAATTGATGTCAACCGTTTTTCGTCTATCAGTGCTAATTGTTCTAACCTTGATTTAACCCATTCCGTGTCCTCAATTTCTGCTTCGACAATGATTCGAAGAGAAGGGATTTCAACTTCTGCGGGTATGACAGCCTCAGTTCCGTAAACCAATAAGTAAGGAGTTGCACCGACTGACGTACGAATAGTTGTGCGGTATCCCAAGAGAGCAAATGGTAGTTTTTCATGCCACTGCTAGATCCTTGCACCATTCTCCTAAGAATCTTCTTAATGTTTTTATTTGCCGCTTCAACAGCCCCATTTGCTTTGGGTCGATAAGGGGTTGAATGACGATGAACAATTTTAAATTGCTCGCAAACTTCCTTCATCAGGTGGCTGTTAAGATTCGCTGCATTGTCTGTAATAATGATTTTTGGTATGCCGAAACGACATATGATGTTTGAATGAACAAAGTCCACCACTGCTTTCTTGGTGACTGATTTGAATGTGACAGCTTCCACCCATTTGGTAAAGTAGTCGATAGCAACTAAAATAAACCGATGCCCATTAGATGCTTTCGGCTCAATCGGCCCAATAACGTCCATTCCCCAAGCCACAAAAGGCCACGGAGCAGACATAGGGTGCAACTCTAAAGGGGGTGAGTGAATCAAGTCGCTATGAATTTGGCACTGATGGCACCTGCGTACAAATCGGAAAGCAATCTCGCTCCATGGTCAACCAATAGTACCCTGCCCGGATAATCTTTTTTGCTAGAACATAACCGTTCATGTGAGGGCCACAAACCCCTGAATGCACCTCATTCATAATTGTTTCTGCTTCTTGAATATTCACACATCGCAATAGATTCAAATCTGGAGTCCTTTTATATAAGATATCGCCACTCAAGAAGAACCCATTGGCGAGTCGCCTGATAGTTCTTTTTTTATCTCTATCAGCATGTATTGGATATTCTTTAGCTTTTAAAAACCGTTTAATGTCGTGATACCAGGGCTCACCGTCTGGCTCTACTTCAATTATATTGCAATAACCATGTTGATCCCTAACTTGGATTTCCAACGGGTCAATATAGGTATTACCCGGGTATGGAAGCATCGAGGCTAGGGTGGCCAAAGCATCAGCTAACTCATTGTGAAACCTGGGAATGTACCTGAATTCAATGGACTTGAATCTTTTGATGAGGTTTTCTAAACATTGTTTGTACGGCATGAGTTTAATGTCTCGAGTCTCCCATTCGCCTCGGCTTGTCGAATGAGCAAATCGGAATCCCCTAAAACCACCAACTCCTGCACATCCAGATTTATTGCCATATTCAAACCCATGATGCAAGCTTCGTATTCTGTTGTATTGTTGGTAGAAAAGAATCGAAGTCGTGCTGTGGCAGGATAATGACATTCGTTTGGTGAGATAAGAACTGCCCCAATTCCTACTCCATTTTTGTTGACAGCCCCATCAAAATATAATTTCCACACGTGACCATCATTAGGAATTTCTTCCTCAATAGAGTTGATTTCTTCATCAGGGAAGTATGTCCTTAGGGGCTCGTATTCGTCATCGACCGGATTCTCTGCTAAATGATCGGCCAACGCTTGTGCTTTCATGGCGGTGCGAGTGACATAAATAATATCAAATTCCGTAAGCAAAATCTGCCATTTTGCCAACCTACCTGTTGGCATGGATTTTTGAAAAATATATTTCAAAGGATCCATTCGAGATATAAGATAGGTCGTGTAGGACAAAAGATAGTGTTTCAATTTTTGGGCAACCCAAGTCAAAGCGCAACAAGTCTTTTCTAACAGAGTGTACTTTGCCTCATAGCTTGTGAACTTTTTGCTCAAATAATAAATGGCTTGTTCCTTTTTTCCGTAATGTCATGTTGTCCTAAAACGCAACCAAATGAATTATCCATCACTGAAAGATATAAGAATAACGGCCTATCAGGTTCTGGTGGGACCAATACCGGAGGGTTTGCTAAATATTCCTTAATTTTGTCAAAAGCCTCCTGACACTCACTTGTCCATTTGATAGCAGCGTCCTTTTTTCAACAACTTGAATATCGGCTCACATGTGGCGGTGAGTTGAGCAATGAACCTGCTGATATAGTTTAACCTTCCCAGAAAACTCATGACTTCAGTTTTGGTTTTTGGAGGTGGCAATTCTCGAATGGACTTTATCTTAGAGGGGTCCAATTCAATACCTCTTCGACTAACTATAAAACCCAAAAGTTTGCCAGATGGCACTCCAAATGCACATTTAGCTGGATTAAGCTTGAGGTTGTACTTTCTCAATCTTTCGAAGAATTTTCTTAGATCACGCACATGGTCGACTTGCGTTCTAGATTTAATGATGACATCATCGACATATACCTCAACTTCTTTATGCATCATGTCATGGAATATGGTAGTCATAGCTCTCATGTAGGTTGCTCCGCATTCTTCAGACCGAATGGCATGACTCTATAACAATATGTACCCCATGGGGTGGTGAAAGCAGTTTTTTCTGCATCTTCTTCATCCATGAGAATTTGGTGATATCCGGCGTAACAGTCCACAAAAGATTGAATCTCATGTTTGGCACAATTATCAACCAGGATGTGAATGTTGGGTAATGGAAAATTGTCCTTTGGACTTGCTTTGTTTAAATCTCTGTAATCAACACAAACTCTGATCTTTCCATCTTTCTTTGGCACTGGCACAACATTAGCCAACCAGGTAGTGTATTGGACAACTCTGATCACATTTGCAGTCAGTTGCTTCATGATTTCCTCTTTAATTTTATCGCTCATGTCTGTCTTAAACTTTCTCTGCTTTTGCTGGACAGGTGGAAAATCAAGATGTATTGGAAGTTTGTGAACTACTAAATCAGCACTTAAACCCGGCATGTCATCGTAGGACCACGCGAAGACATCTTTGTATTCAAATAAAACTTGAATTATGTCGTCTCGAATGTTCTGATCAACATGAATACTTATCTTTATTTCTCTCACTTCTTCAGGAGTTCCTAAATTAACCGCCTCAGTTTCACTTAAATTAGGTTTAGGCTTATTTTCAAATTGATCCAATCCCTTTTTTATTTCTTCGTAAGCTTCATCTTCATCATATTCGTCAAACTTTGGATTCATTGTTTCGAGATCAGACAACTTTTTAGGATCTAACTGTAAACTCCGCATGCATGTCATATTATTAAAGTCGACATTAACGTAACTGAAATGAAAAATAAGAGGACATATATTAGAAAGAGTAAGAACAGAGAAGATGATTGAATATGATTGGGAAACTAGAACTTCATTGCATTAAATGAGAAATGATAGAAGGGTTAACACCAAAGTGAGATAGCTAGAAGGTTTGAATTACAACCCTGAGAATAATCCAAATAAATAAATTAAAAGCAGCAAAATAAACTACCAAGACTCCCTCCTTGTAGGGAGAGGAGTGGCTTCCCAGTTGTTGAGCTGGACATTCGGGCCGATGAATTGCACATCCATGTGACTAGTGCCTTCACCCATCTGAGTCATGTTTACGTCATAAAACATTTCCTTGATACCTTGACATATTTCATCCACATCATTCTGGAAGAGAAGTCTGGACTCGGTTCACCTCGAGATTTAACGAAAGATTGAGCAATATGAGGGATTGGCTTCAACAAATTCCAAACATTTCTTTTACGATCTTTTGCCCATTTTCTATCAAATCTAGTTGGATTGAAACCCAAACCGAATGTCTCTTGATTACCCATCGGATTGATGGGATCTACAATTCCTTGCAAAGACAACCCTAGTCCCTTTCCAGGTTCATAGCCGTTTTGTACCATCTGGGACACCACCATGACTGAAGCAGATGATAGATGAGGTTGTGGTATAGGCTTCCCTACCGAAAACTGATTGACTGTTATAATCTCAAAAGCCTGATAGTTGAGGGATTCACAACCTCTTTTGGCCTCAATGCATGGTATTGACGGATCTCGGTGATTGGGAGATCATCTTCACCATGGACAATGATTTCCAGTTTGTCATGCTCAAACTTGACCACTTGGTGCAGAGTAGACGGCACAGCTCTAGCCAGGTGGATCCATGGCCTACCCAAAAGTAGATTGTAAGAAGTGTCCATGTCTATTACTTGGAAAGTGATTCCGAACTCCACTGGTCCAATTGTAACAGTTAAGTATATTTCACCAAGAGTGTCCCGTTTTGCGCCATCAAATGCACGCACACAGACATTGTTAGTACGAATTCTATCCGTGTTGATTTCAACCTTTGTAGAGTAGAAAGAGGGCATATGTCTACACCTGATCCTCCATCGACCATGACCCTCTTCACATAGTGTTCTTCACATTTCACGGTTAAATGTAACGCCTTATTATGCCCAGATCCTTCCAAAGGCAATTCATCATCAGTGAAAGTGATTCTATTTACCTCAAATATTCGGTTGGCATCTTTTCCAAGTGACCCACCGTGATACTTTCTGAGATATGTGCCTCATTCAAGATTCTGGTCAAAACTTCACGATGCTCTTTAGAATGTATGAGTAATGACAACAAGGATATCTGAGCGGGTGTTTTCCTCAATTGATCAATAACAGAATAATCTTGAGCTTTCATCTTTTTCAAGAACTCTTCAGCCTCCTCCTCAGTGACAGGTTTTTTAACCGGCAACTGATTTTCTTTGGCTTGTTTGTCTCTTCTTAATTCTTCTGGAGCATAACACCTCCCAGAACGAGTTAATCCTCTTGTTTCATTTGTTTCTTCAACAATCTCCTTTCCCTTGTGGGTAACAACGACTTTGTTGTAATTCCATGGAACGGTCTTGGTGTTTGTCATCGGAAGTTGTGTTGCAATTTGTATCACAACTGGCTCTTTCACACTTTCTTGATTTTGACCAAATGCTCGAAGCTTACCAGGAATGTATAATTTTGGTCCATTCAACGGTACTTCTCTTCTTTTTACAGCTCCAGGGACATACAACACAGTTTTCTCGAGTCTCCAAAATTTGAACTTGCACCATTCACAATTATCGGTGCCTTTTGTATGGGTTCTAAAACCATACTCGACTCTTCTTTTGAATCTCTGCTTTCCATTTTTGTTCTACATGTTTGCTCACAATCTTCATAAATGTCTACCATCCCCACAATATGCTCCTTATTGTGAGCAGGGAGTGGGTTATTGGTGACATTTGGCGCCTCCTCATTACGTATCTCAATTACCTTATCCTCAATCAACTTCTCAATGACTCTTTTTAGAGTCCAACAATTCTCTGTGCTATGACCTGGAGTGTTAGCGTGATACTCACATATAACAGTTGGATCAAAGCCTCTTGCATTCGGATTGACAAAATAGGGATTGACAGGTTCAACCAATCCTAATTGTACTAATTTCCGCAACAAACTCGTATATGACTCTCCAATTGGGGTAAAGTTTTCTTTTCGACCTTGTTCTCTTGTATAATCCATCCGGGGACGTGGATTATGGGGTGCCTGAAAATTTTGTTGTTGGGGGCGAGAACCTTGTGGGGCAGGTGCCCGCCATTGTTGGCGCTGAGGAGGTCGGACATATGCTTGAGTGTTGAGAACTGCATATTGGGATGGGTAATAATGTTGAGGAGAATTAGATTGTTCTTGTTGGACTTGAACATAAGGGTGGTTCATGCCCATTTGAATACCTCTCGATCCAGACGTCATCATGGACCCTTCTTCTTTCTTTTTTCGATTTACAAAATTACCTGACCCGCTTTGTATTGCTTGTGTGGTAGCTCTAATGGCTGTCTGGCTTACAATTTTACCCGATTTTATGCCGTTCTCTACCACTTCTCCGATCTTAATTGCTTCGGCGAAAGGCTTCCCCATTGCAGCAAGAAGGTAATGAAAGTAGTCAGGTTCTTGTGCCTGGAGAAAAACATCAATCAATTCATAGTCTTTCATCGGCGGTTTGACTCTAGCCGCCTGCTCCCTCCATCTTATGGCATATTCCCTAAAGCTTTCAGACGATTTCTTCTTCATATTAGCTAGGGAATTGCGATCCGGAACGATATCAATATTGTATTGGAATTGTTGGACAAAATCTTGCGCCATGTCATCCCAGACATGCCATCGAGAAATATCTTGATCGATAAACCATTCTGAGGCTACACCCGTTAGACTTTCTCCAAAGTAAGCCATAAGAAGTTCTTCTTTTCCTTCGGCTCCCCTTAGCTGATTACAAAATCTTTTCAAATGAGCCACTGGGTCGCCATGACCGTTATACTTATCAAACTTTGGAGTTTTGAACCCTATAGGCAAGTGAACATCTGGAAACATGCATAAGTCCTTGAACGAGACACTTTTGTGTCCTCCCAGCCCTTGCATATTCCTTATGTTTTGCTCCAAACTCCTCATTTTTCTTGCAATTTCTTCATGTTCCTCGTCCTTAATAGTTTTTTCAACCTCAACGGGGGTACTGTATTGATGAGTGTGGTGGTAAGAATCAGGAATTTTGAAAGTCAATTTAGGGGCCTGACCTTGGCCATATTGATCTTTGGGTATAGGATCATCATTGGATTTTTGTACTAGTGTTGGTTGAGGATTTGCATTAGTTTGCACAGTTGGCATGAAGAGTGGATTATTCATCATGGGTGGATTCAACGGGTGTACCGAGGAAGTTCCAGCAGTATTAGATGTGTTAACGTAGGGTCCAAATCCAGGTGGATAAATCGGGTCACTTGTTGAGACTTGAATGGGGAATGGCATATTTACATTCAGGTATTCCCGAATTGAAGATGGGGGAGCCTGCCCATTCATCCAAGCTTCATACATTTCGGCCATCTGTTGTCTCAACATCTTGACCTCTTCTACAGATACTGACTCTTGTGCAACCATTTGATTTTGGACTTCATCATTTCCCGACTCTGTTCCGTCTTTGCGTGTCATTTTTGCTTTCCCTTTTAATCTTGTGTTATATTGATGAGATGCCAGCTTTCTTCACAAACCAACCACCTTTAAACTCTTTCTCTCTTATATATAAAAACAAATGTGTTAGGATTCAACACTTTGCAATATTAATAACACGTTGTATGTTATGCACCTAAATTATTCCTATTTCTACAATGAGTTTTGGAAGACTTTTATGTTTCATCCCGGCTTTGGACGACTTGCTTATGTCTTTTAGTCCCATATTTACTCATCTGAATATTTTGAACGCATTTTGATCGAACCTGTTGAAGGTTGCCTACGTATCATGTTGAACATGAATCAGATCATTACGTAGTTCGTGAAGAAGAATTATTAAAAAAAAGAAAACACGACATTTATTTATATGAAGATATCATTCAAATCAAAATGTTCTTAAAATAAATAACCAAAACATCAAAGTACTTAAAGATTGAAACAAACTTCGACAAAAAATGAAAATAAAAGAAATAATAATAATAATAAAAAAAATCCTTCTCCAATATTTCTCGATCATCAATTGCCCCCTAGGCTAGAGTAAACCTTGAACAAAGCTTTTGGCAGATGTGGGGCCAGTGCACGCGCATGTCGACCCAGGCTCTCATCACTCCGATGTAGATAACCACCATAAACATCAATCAAGCTCTCTGTCAGCTGAAGCACTTGTCCTTTGGCCTCTCCATATTCTCGTGACAATTCTGCAACCATTCTTGAGTAGTATCAACCCTGTGGGTCAAATCCTCTTCATGTGCCTGAAGCTCTTCGATTTGATTATGAAGTTCTTCACGCTCCCCCATCCATTGGTTTCTCTCGATTGCGACTTCTGTTTGATACGATGTGAAACGCTTTGCTATGTCTGTTTCTCGTCCCATCGAAGCTTTTAACTGATTTTGTAGTCTAGCCTGTGTGTGCATTAAGAGGGTCTTTTCTTTTTTATACTCCTCCTCTTGTTGCTCCATAGCGCCTGTGACAATGCCCAAATCCTCATGTAAGGTTCGAATGGTGGATTGATGTTCTTTTTCAGCCCTTTTCTGAATCAACCTAACTCTTTCTTTGAATATTGCATCACGTTGAGCCAACTCTTCTCTAGCATTCTTTAGATCATTACTGAGGATATCCAGAGTAGACCTGTAATTTCTTTCCACCTCGAGCCGAGCTTGCTTGATTCTGACTTCAATTTCCTCTTCTCGATCTCTGAGTTCTCGCGCTGATCCTTCGGGCATTACTTTGAGGGGGGCTTGATCAAAGAACCAATGGAGGTATGAGGGGTCTACTTCTCCTTCAACACGATCGTCTACCATAGCTTTCGAGCTTAAAGTTCGACTACCACCCCAAATCTTTTGAGCTTCTGATTCTCGATCTCGATCTTCAGACGACACCTCCCATACGAAACTCTGTGTATCCTCGGCCCTAGGTAAGATTTGTTTTTGTCCTAGTTGGCGTAGCACCCGAAGGGGTATGTACGGTTGGAATCCTCGAAGGCCTGTCAGAACAAAGAATGGACGATAGGAAGACATAACAATTACCTCACTTGCAGGGAACCAATGATAGTTCCATGTAATATCAGATGCAGTTAATTTAAGAAGATAATGTCTCCACGCTTTGACACCTTTTGGCAATTTGTCTACTAATTCCTTCATCCTGTCTGGGTGGCTCAAAATATAATTCGTCCATTCAGATTTGAAATCTGTCGCAAAACGATGGCGATACAAGTGCTCCAAAAACCACATTTGCAATAGAATGCTGCAACCTTCAAAAAAGTCTTCCCCTTCTCTACATTTAGTCAAAGCACGATAAATGTCAGCCAACATCATTGGCAAGATAGTGGATTTCTTTTTCTTCATCATAACAGCGACTATTCCCGACAGACGAATACTGATTTTTTTATCCCTTCTTGGAAAAACCATGGTTCCCAAAAAGGCCACCATGAATGCTTCTTGTCTATGTTTTTCCCAAGTAGGGAGGTGTTGCCCATTTTTAAGTTGTTTCCCGTAGTCTGAAAATCCTTCTTTCTTTCCATATCTTGAGTATAGAAATTCCAAGGAAACCAACCATTATCGAAACACTCCTTATGAGGATAGATGATGTGCATTTGTTCTAAAAATTTGTTCCCGCTGACGTTTCTTGGGGCTATGAGTGTTTTGCTTCGGAGATCCTTGCCTAACCCTGTGAAACCACCCAACTCCTCCAATGTAGGCGTCAACTCAAAATCGCTAAAGCGAAACACATTGCTTGTAGAATCCCAAAAAGGGATCAAAGCCTCGATCAAATCTCTGTCAGGACTAAATCTCATGATATCTGTGAGGAAACCAAGATGTTTGAATATCTCAGTTCGCCTAAACTCATGCATATCGTTCCACCAAGCCATGAGTAGTGGTGGGGTTTTATCCGTGATCATGAACTTTGGGGGATCATTAACCATTTCGACTGCTTCATCCCTTGGTCTTTTATCACATCTCATAGATTTCATGGTTACCTGGTTAGGAAAAGAAACTCGCGATTTAAAACCAAATTTAACTTATGAAATTTTGATAATTCGAAATCATTTGTTGAAGTAGTAAAAATAAATAAAATATATATATGAAAAATGACTCAGAATGCCTAAAGTGGTCATTGTTTCGAAAACGACTTTTGTTGACCTTCCTTAAGGGAAGCCTAGGTTGGTTTAAGAGAAAATGATCGGATAAAGAGATAATTTTGACAAGTGAATCATGAAGAACAGAAAGAAAAAGAAATAAAAAGAAGGTGGATATGCTTATTTGAAACAAATTTAAAGACATACATATATATAATAATTTATTTTATTGCATTATTATTATTTTTTTTTTTTTACTATAACCTTTTTTATTTATATATTTATTTTTTATTTTTATTTTTATTTGTTGTAAAAACTTGATGTTTTGATAAAAGCGAGAATACAATTGAGGGTTATATATATATATATATATATATATATATATATATTATTTTCACTTTGTTTATCTTGAATTATTTGCTGAAAAAAAATAGACGTTTCTTCTTTTAGTCAATTATTTAAAGCCGGTCAACATTTGTATAGTCTTCACATGATGCAACAAGTAGCACAAAAATGTACATGATGGTCTCAAGAACAGGTACCTGTCCTAGACAGACCCGGCCCCCATGCCGAGTCTTGCTAAGTTAAATGCACGTGATGAGATAAAGCGGAACCTAGTAAGGATATCATGTATGGAGGTTTCAGTTCTACTAAGGTTAAACTTGTGGAGCAAGGTATCTAGACTGGCTGTAAAACGAGCGGACAACTCGAGTTAGGGAGTAGCAACGTACCGGTAGCAGCGCTTTCCGGCTTTGTGCATGGGTGCTCCCTATCCTAAACATGTATGACTAAATATCCTTCACCATGGACCGAAGATCCACTGGCTATCTTAACAGAAGTGGGGTGCGCAGTCGCAATTCCCATACTTGTATTATAGAAGACTCAGAGGGGTGCGCGAGAGAAGACAGTTATAATGCAATGCAAATAATATTAAATAGTAAAAAAGTAAACAATTAGCACATTCAGCCAACAAATACAATATCCAAAACATAAATAATTAAGTAAATAGTCATATATAAGTCAATATTATAAGCTCGAATTCTGGTTATTCCCCGGCGGAGTCGCCATCTGTCACACCCCTTTTTTCCTCAATATTTAATTTAAGTATGTTTTGAAAGAAAAAGAGTTTCTCCAATTAAAGTGACATTTTTGAAAAGGGATTATTTTATTATTCAGAGTCGCCACTTGGAATTGAGTTTTGGTGTTCCAAGTCACCTTATTATTTAAACCCCTAATCAAAAGGAAATTTGACTCTTTATTTTTATTGGTCTGCGAGAACAAAGATCGGGTAAGGAATTCTGTTGACCAAGGGGAAGGTATTAGGCACCCCTCGAGTCCCGTGGTTCTAGCACGGTCGCTTCATTGACTATATATGACTTAAATTAATTTTCAGATATTGTATTATTAACTTAATAATAAAAGTTATTTACCTCATTATTTGGTTTATTTTAAACCTATTTATATTATATTAATATATTTTCGTTAATTAAAAAGAATGTATATCACATAAATTTATTCAAACATAATAAAGTAAAATTAATAGATGGATATTTACAAATCTTGATTTGTCTGGTAATTTCTTTTCTTCTCCTTTTCTTTTTCATGTATTTGTATTTTTTTATTTTTTTATTGTGGATAGAAAATATATGGGTATCTAATTGCTAGGAATTAGAATTTGTGTGGGATTGAAATTTTTTGAGTTTGAGTATTTTAGGATTGTATTTTCTTAGTTAGATTAGAAATAGAAATAAAATTTTTATGTGATTTGGAATTAGTTTTAGCAAGAAATTCTAAATAGATTAGGACTATTTTTTAGAAAGATTTTTTCCTTCTTAATTTTTTAATTTTTTTTTTCTTTACTTTTTATCCCTTTTTTGACGTTTTGGTTTTATTAGTTATTATTTTATTTTTTTTATTTTTGTTTTGTCTCTTTGTATTATTTATTTTTTTTACGTTTTTTTTTTTTTACTTTATCCTTTATTTATATTTTTTTAATATTTTTTTTTATTCTTTTTGGACATTCTGTTTCTCGTCTTCTTCTTTTTTTTTTTTTTGTTGTTTATTTTATTTTATTGTTTTAATCATCTTACGTTTTCTGTTTCATTTTTTCTTTATTATTATTCTTTTTGTTCTTCTTACTTTTTGGTTTAACTTTTTTTTGTTTCTGTTACGCTCTATTTTTTATTATTATTCTTTTCGGTTTACGTATGTTCTGTTTATATATATATATATATATATATATATATATATGTATATTTTATGCTTTCTCATTTTTAAAAAAAATTAGTTTTCTTAATTATTCATTATTTATTTTTTTAACCATAAATCTCTAAACAAATATTCATATATCCTCTTAATTATATATCTTAATAATTCGAATTAAAGCGATAATCATCTTAACACTTAT